AATATACAGTCAATTCATTCTGTAAGACTTCCTTAGAGAGCATCAACTTCAGCCACTTTGCCCCACGGCTCTGGAATTCACTCCCGTAATTCCTCTGACTGCCTTCCTCTCTGCTTTAAAACCCTTTAAAACCTACCTCTTTAACTGAGCTTTCAGTCACTTCGGTCCTATCCTCCCATGGACCATGTGTATTTGCTGTGCACAGGAAGTGCTGCTGATGTATTACATATGTATGTATTTCTTTAATAGGAATTAGAAAGGATTGAAAAGATTCGAGTTTTGTTTGGGGGAGCCCCTGAGATGAAAAAGCTTTCCTCTGCAGAGATTTTACAGCAACGATTGGAGCAAATATGGACTTCTCTTCACGTGCCTGACAGTGAGCGCCTTGACATGGCAATTAAATATAGCTCATTTGAGTACTACGATCAGTTTACTAAAGTACGTGTCTGAGCTCAATACAATACAAATTACGTCCCAGGGCGCTGAACAGTCAGGGATTAGGGATTAGAACCCAAGCGGGGTGGGTGGCGGTGGGGGGGATCAAGGAGGGTGGCCGAAGGCACAGTTGAAGAGGAGATTCTTGAGGCATATGCCGAAGAAGGCAAGGGAGGGAACGAGGCAAAGGGAATATGGGATGGAGTTCCAGAGGGTGGGGCCAGAGAGGCTGAAGGCCCGGCCGCCGATGTTGAGGCGGGGTACATGGAGCAGGCCAGAGTCTGCTGAGCAGAGAGAGCGGACAGGTTGACAAGTGGTTAGGTTGGAGAGGTAGGAGGGGGCAAGGCCATAGAGGGCCTTGAAGGTGAAGGACGAGGATTTTGAACTCGGCCTTCTAAGGTATTGGGAGCCATTGGAGCCCGGCGAGGGTGGGTGTGATGGGGTCATGGACCCTGGTGCAGGAGAGGAAACGGGCTGCAGAGTTCTGGATGATCTGCAGTTTGTGGAGTCAAGAGTTGGGAAGGCTGACAAACAGGGAGTTGACATAGTTGAGCCTAGATGTAATGAAGGCATGTATGAGGGTTTCAGCGGCCTGAGGAGTGAGGCAGTGAGGGAGTCGGGCAATGTTGTGTAGGTGGGGGAAGGCAAAGTGGGTCATGGCACAGATGTAGGGTAGAAAGGACAGTTGAGGGTCGATCAAAACGCCTAGGTTCCTGACTGGCTTGGTGAGGTGGAGTGTGCATTCGTGGATGCTGATGCTGCCAGTGCAAGTTGTTGATGATATGTTATTCCACATCGTTAATGATAACATTTTATTAAAATGACATTTGAATAGCAGAACAACAACAACAACAAAATTACATTTGTAAAGCGCCTTTCACATCAGGAGAAGGTCCCAAGGCGCTGGACAGACAGAGTTGGGGGTTGGGGTCGGGGAGGGTGGAGGGCAGCAGGGAGATCGAAAGCATGGTCGAAGAGGAGATTTTTGAGATGGGTCTTGAAGGTAGCAAGGGAGGGAGGGAGCGAGGCGGAAGGACTGCGGGATGGAGTTTTAGAGGGTGGGGACAGAGTGGCGGAAGACCCGCCCGCCAATAGTGGGGGGAACGAGGCGGGGGATGTGAAGCAGGCCGGAGCCCACTGAGCGGAGGGAGCGAGCAGGATGGTAGGGGATTAGGAGGTCGCAGAGGTAGGGGAGAGCAAGACCGTGGAGGGCTTTGAAGGTGAGGACCAGAATCTTGAACTGTATCCTCTGTGTGATGGGAAGCCAGTTGAGTTGGGCGAGGATGGGGTTGATAGGGTAGAGAGACGCTCAAACAGAGAGAGAGACGCTCAGACAGAGAGAGGGACGCACAGACAGAGAGAGAGAGGGACGCTCAGACAGAGAGAGAGAGGGGGAAGCTCAGACAGAGAGAGAGAGAGGGACGCTCAGACAGAGAGAGAGAGAGGGACGCTCAGACAGTGAGAGAGAGAGAGGGACGCTCAGACAGAGAGAGAGAGAGAGGGACGCTCAGACAGAGAGAGAGAGAGAGAGGGACGCTCAGACAGAGAGAGAGAGAGGGACGCTCAGACAGAGAGAGAGGGACACTCAGACAGAGAGAGAGAGAGAGAGAGTGACGTTCATACAGAGAAAGAGAGAGGGACACTCCGACAGAGAGAGAGAGAGAGAGACGCTCAGACAGAGAGAGAGTGACGTTCAGACAGAGAAAGAGAGAGGGACGCTCCGACAGAGAGAGAGAGAGGGACGCTCAGACAGAGAGAGAGAGAGGGACGCTCAGACAGACAGAGAGAGAGAGAGAGGGCGCTCAGACAGAGAAAGAGGGACGCTCAGGCAGAGAGAGAGACGAGACGCTCAGACATAACGAAGGATGCTCACGCAAACAGAGAGAGAGAGGGACGCTCAGACAGAGAGAGATAGAGGGACGCTCAGACAGAGAGAGAGGGACCCTCAGACAGAGAGAGAGAGAGGGACGCTCAGATAGCGAGAGAGAGACGAGACGCTCAGACATAAAGAGGGAAGCTCACACAAACAGAGAGAGAGAGGGACGCTCACACAAACAGAGAGAGCCGTTTACACAAACAGAGAGAGACACTCACACGAACAGAGAGTGAGAGACAGTCAGACAGGGAGAGAGGGACGCTCAGACAGAGAGAGAGAGAGAGGGACAGAGAGAGGGACACTCAGAGAGAGAGAGGGACGCTCAGACAGAGAGAGAGAGAGGGACGCTCAGACAGAGAGAGAGAGACGCTCAGACAGAGAGAGAGAGAGAGGGACGCTCAGACAGAGAGAGAGAGGGACGCTCAGAGAGAGAGAGAGACGCTCAGACAGAGAGAGAGAGAGGGACGCTCAGACAGAGAGAGAGAGAGGGACGCTCAGACAGTGATAGAGAGAGACGCTCACACAATCAGAGAGAGAGACGCTCAGACTGAGAGGGAGAGACGCTCAGACAGAGAGAGACAGACGCTCAGAGAGAGAGAGAGACGCTCAGTGAGAGAGAGAGAGACGCTCAGACAGAGAGAGAGAGAGGGACGCTCAGACAGAGAGAGAGAGAGGGACGCTCAGACAGTGATAGAGAGAGACGCTCACACAATCAGAGAGAGAGACGCTCAGACTGAGAGGGAGAGACGCTCAGACAGAGAGAGACAGACGCTCAGAGAGAGAGAGAGACGCTCAGAGAGAGAGAGAGAGACGCTCAGACAGAGAGAGAGAGAGACGCTCAGACAGAGAGAGAGAGAGACGCTCAGACAGAGAGAGAGACGCTCAGACAGAGAGAGAGACACTCAAACAGAGAGAGAGACGCTCAGACAGAGAGAGGGACGCACAGACAGAGAGAGAGAGAGAGAGAGAGGCACGCTCAGACAGAGAGAGAGAGGGGGACGCTCCGACAGAGAGAGAGGGACGCTCAGACAGAGAGAGAGAAAGAGGGACGCTCAGACAGAGAGAGAGAGGGACCCTCAGAGAGAGAGTGACGTTCAAACAGAGAAAGAGAGAGGGACGCTCCAACAGAGAGAGTGAGAGGGACACTCAAATAGAGAGAGCGAGAGAGAGGAATGCTCAGACAGAGAGAGAGGGGGACGCTCAGACAGAGAGAGAGGGACCCTCAGACAGAGAAAGAAGGACGTTCAGACAGCGAGAGAGATGAGATGCTCAGACATAACGAGGGATGCTCACACAAACAGAGAGAGAGACGCTCACAGAAACAGAGAGAGAGACGCTCACACAAACAGAGGGACACTCAGACAGAGAGGGAGAGACGCTCAGACAGAGAGACAGAGCCGCTCAGACAGAGAGACAGAGCCGCTCAGAGAGAGAGAGACACTCAAACAGAGAGAGGGGGACGCTCCGACAGAGAGAGAGAGAGGGACGCTTACACAAACAGAGAGAGAGAGGGACGCTCAGACAGAGAGAGAGACGAGACACTCAGACATAACGAGGGATGCTCACACAAACAGAGAGAGAGAGGAACGCTCAGACAGAGAGAGAGACGAGACGCTCAGACATAACGAGGGATGCTCACACAAACAGAGGAGAGAGACGCTCACACAAACAGAGAGAGAGAGACACTCACACAAACAGAGAGACGCTCAGACAGAGAGAGAGAGACGCTCAGACAGAGAGAGAGACGCTCAGAGAGAGAGACGCTCAAACAGAGAGAGAGACGCTCAGACAGAGAGAGAGAGAGACGCTCAGACAGAGAGAGAGAGAGACGCTCAGACAGAGAGAGACGCTCAGACAGAGAGAGAGGGACGATCAGATAGAGAGAGTGAGAGGTACGCTCAGAAAGAGAGAGAGAGAGGGGGACACTCAGAGAGAGAGAGAGAGGGAGAGATGCAGACAGTCACCGAGAGAGAGAGAGAGAAGCAGACAGTCGCCGAGAGAGAGAGACGCAGACAGTCGCCGAGAGAGAGACGCAGACAGTCACCCAGAGAGAGAGAGAGAGACGCAGACAGTCGCCAAGAGAGAGAGACGCAGACAGTCGCCGAGAGAGAGACGCAGACAGTCACCCAGAGAGAGAGAGAGAGACGCAGACAGTCGCCAAGAGAGAGAGACGCAGACAGTCGCCGAGAGAGAGACGCAGACAGTCACCCAGAGAGAAAGAGAGACGCAGACAGTCACCCAGAGAGAGAGAGAGAGAGAGAGAGAGATGCAGACATTCACACAGAGAGAGAAACGCAGACAGTCACAGAGAGGGACACAGACAGTCACAACAGCGGGACCTCCGAGTGAAGCCCATTTTCCTCTTGCGCCTCACAGCGCACGCTCGTCCAGAGCCGCTCCACAGTGACGTCAGGTAAACAGCAAAAGTCGGACCAGCAACTGTGTTTGTAGCCGAGACGCTGTTCATCGTGGATTCCGGAAAAAAATTGCAGATGCACTTTTCTATTGGACACGCTCCTAACTCATACCTCTAACACTGGGAATCCTGACTGCTCTTCTCACTGTCTCTAATGACCTGGGCAGCACCTTATGTTGTGATAACTAGCACTGTATGTGGTTTTGTCTCCAGGTGGGATCTGATCTTGTAGCTTGAAACCTGATGATGATCATGTTTTGGTTTCCTGTTTAGATCGCTCTTGATTCTGGATGATGTTTGGGAAAGCTGGGTATTAAAGTGTTTCGATATTCACTCCCGTGTCCTGATCACCAGTAGAGACAAGAGTGTCACTGATACTGTTGCAGGTAAGGGAAATATTCCTATAAAACTGTCTTCATTTATTTTTTGTGGCTGCCTTGACTCTCCATCTTTAAAAATGTCATAAGTTTTTTTTAAAAAAAATTCAGTCATAATCTGTTTGGTTTACCACCTAGAATTTTAATTCATTCAGTAGCTGCAGGGACAAAATAGTTATAAACTATGCATAGTTCCCCTGATGATTTAGTTGGTAATTATAGTGCAATCTCAATAATACCTACTCTTTCCTGCTCTCATAGTGAACATCTGGAATTGTTACAGGAGGGTGTGAGCTCTTGCAATACTTCCTGTAATACTGGACCGCATAGAGAAGTTTAGCTGAAGGAACAAAGTTAGCCTGGGCTGACAGAAGTGCTGTGTTTGGTTTCTGTTTGGCTCCTGGATTACGTTAGTTTGAGTTAGTTCGAGAACCGTGAGGCTAATTGTGGTCTTAGGGAGCTCTAGAGCAGCTGTCCAGGAACATGATCAAAATGTGTTGTGTTTATTTCCTCTTTTCCAACACCAATCTATTGGAATAATACTCGTGGCGAGGGGTGTGACTATCATGCATGATGCTATACAAGAATTTGTGAGGTTCCATGTCCATAATTAATCCTGTTTATCTTTTGTTGGCCATTAGCCCAGCTCTTTTCTGCAGGTTTTTATGTTGATACGGACATAAATAAGGTACAGAGAAAAGAGATGCTTGAGAGGGAAATTGGTTTAAATTGCAGAATTCTACAATTCCATCCCACAATCCCTTTGACTCGCTCCCTCCCTCTCCTCCTTCAAAGCACGTCTCAAGACTCTCTTCTTTGACCGCACCTTTGGCAACCCTCCATCCCCTCCATCCTCCCTGATCCCAACCTCCTCCTCAGGTGGTGCCCAGAATTGGATACAATTATTCCAGCTGAGGCCTAACCAGTGATTTATAAAGCTTTAGCATAACTTCTTTGCTAGTGTTTTCAGGAACTTCAGTTAATTTTATGGTTATTTGCTGTTGGATCCACTAGCTATTAGCAAAAAATATTTTGACAGTGTTGCTAGGATCCAAGCAACATAACTTCAGAATTGATTATTAGAAATAATGCAATAATATACTTAGAGCAGGGGTGGGCAATTATTTGGGCTGGCAGGCCACTTCACAAGTTTTGGTAAGCTTCACGGGAAACATACTTAATATAGATGCAAATGCTTAATAATAGCTCAAAATCAAGTCTTACACTTGCACATGCATAAAATAAAAACTATGTAATTGACATTCATTAAAATTAGGTTAAATAAAAACAACTCATTGAGCAGACATTTATTCGATATTTATTCATTTATTCACATATTGATGAGAATGTGAGAAGCTCACTCAATGGGAAGAATGAAAGTGCTGATGTGCATTAACCAGACAATTGAAGTCAGGCATCATCTCCGTTGTTGCAACGTGGAGTACTGCTGCAAGGTGGTCATCAGTCATCACAGATCTTGTTTTGATTTATTGAATTTCATCACAGAAAATGTCTCCTCACATATGTATGTTAATTCAAACAGCACAAGCATCCTCCGGGCATGAGTCTTTATTTCTGGAAAGGTATATTCATTAAGAGAGGTGTAAAAACTGGGAAGTGGCACTGATTTGAATTGCTCCGCAAGCAATGGATCACATTGCAGCTCAATAAGCTCGAGTTGGAGGTCAAATGGGGCTTTGTCAACATCAAATGAGAAAGGTGAAGAGACCAAAGACAATTTTCGATCAAATTGAAAGCCTGGAATCGGCGAGAAAATTCGGCATATAAGTCAAGTAGGGACAAAGTCTACTTTTTAAAGCTTTGATCCCAAACAGTAATCTGGTGCAAAGTTGGAAAGTGGGCGAACTGCCTATTTCCTATCTTAGGCGATAAAAGAAATAATTTTGTCATAGATGACTTGACACTGCAATACAAATCGTGCACAAAGGCCCCCTTCCGTTGCAGTTTTGAATTCAGGTCATTCATGTGGCCCATGATATCAATGTAAAATGTAAAATCTGAGAGCCAATTCGCATCTTTCAGCTGTGGGAAATCCGAATCTTTTTGTTTCATGCCCAAAAATAAATCAATCTCTGTTCTCAGTTCCCACACTCTTTTCAAAAACCTTTCCTAAACTAAGCCATTTTACATTTGTGTGATACAGAACATCCGTGGGCTCGGATTCCAATCCTCAAGCAGAGATACAAATTGCCTGTGGTTTAATCCTCTTGAATGTATTTGACCACTTTCGTAACTGTGTCCATGACATTGCTTAGGTTTAGAACAATCTTACAGAGGACCTCTTGGTAGATAATGCAGTTTAGAAAAACAATATTCTGTTCTGGATTTGTCTCTTTTGATCTTGAATTCTTTTCAGTAACCCAACATTTTTGCCAGTCACATTTGGGCTTCCATCGGTGGTCACATTCACCAATTTTTCCTAATTTTAAGATACACTTTTTACTGCCTCCAAAAAGTCTTCTCCAGTTGCCGTATCTTTCATTGACTGCATTGATGCCAATTCTTCTGTGAGCTCAAAATGTTTGGTGATACCGCGAATAAAAATTATCAACTGGGCTGTGTCTTTGACATCACAACTCTCACCGAGTGCCAGTGAAAAACATGCAAAATTGCTTACTTTATTTTGTAACTTCAGATACAGGTTCTCAGAGATATCCTTGACACGTCTCACAATAGTTTGCTTTGACAAGCTAATGTTCTCGAACTGTTTTTTCTTGTCTGGGCGTAAAATCGAGGCAGAGTCAACCATACATTCCTTTATAAATTCTCCTTCAGAGAATAGTTTGCTGTTCTTGCTGATTTTGTGTGCAATCACGTAATTCACTCTGGTAATCTCATCCTGGGGCGCAAATTGTTTTGTGAAAATGCTTTGCTCTTTTTGCATTCGAACAACCATCTCATCAGCTTTCTTTCCTTTTTCCTCGGCAGAAACGTTCTTATATTTGCAAGCATGTTTCCTCTCAAAATGGCGATTCAAGTTGTAGTCTTTGAGCACTGTTACAGTTTCTTTGCAAATTAAGCACACAGATTTTCCACCCACACTGGTAAAACAAAAATTAGAAGTCCATCCTTTGTTAAATATTTGGCCTCCAGGGTCCACTTTCCGCTTCTCTGATAAACTCATTTCGAATTAACGTCCTCTTCAGTGAAACGTATTGCTGCGGTTGCCCTGCGCGCGTTTGAACATTTTCCGATCCGTACATTTCTGACGTCAGCCTGATTCAACACTTAAGGGAGCGTGTGCACAGCTAAGCAGTGTGATTGGCTGATGTTCTCGGTCTGATTCAAATGCGAAATTTGTGCGACTTTCTGGGACTGAACGAACTATAATTGTTTCTATTGCTGGACACAATGATGGGCCGGATAGAATCATTTGGCGGGGCCGGATATGGCCTGCGGGCTGGCCTTTGCCTCACCCCTGACTTAGAGCATTTAATGTCCAAATCAGATCCCGGTTTTACCAAAATAAAAAGAAACTGATACACTTTTTTAAAAAATGCGTGGAATTATTCTACAACATTCGTCACCATCCTCGGAGAGCAACGGTAAGTGGAGGGAACATAAATAGTGTGGAACTTACATTGACAGAGAGGCTAGAGAAGCTAAGATTATTCTCCTTGGAGCAGAGAAGGTTAAGAGAAGACTTAATAAATGTTTTCAAAATTATGAGGGGAATCAATAGGGTGAACAAGGAGAGATTATTTCCACTGGTGGGTGCGTCAGTAACCCAAAAACATCGATTTAAAATAGTTGTTAAATGAAACGGGAGGTGAGAATTTTTTCACACAGCGAGCAGTTCGGATCTGGAATGCATTGCCTGAAAGGGTGGTGGAAGCCGATTCGATAACAACTTTTAAGAGAGAAGCAGATAATTATTTGGGGAGGACAAGTTTGCAGTCTATGGGGAGAGAGTGGGGGAGTGGGATTGAATTGCATAGCTCTTTTCAAAGAGCTGGAACAGACACGTTGGGCCGAATGGCCTCCTTCTGTGCTGCATAATTCTGTAATGATTCTAGATGATTGATTCATATTCACATTTCTTTAGAAATAACGATTATTGTTGGTGCTGTTGATGCAGAGATTCAAATACATTTTTAAATCATGCAGCAACAAATGATAGCAAAGTTGAATATTGGTAGCCTTGCTTAATTGGATCATTATAACTGTTAGGTACATGCAATATCTCTTATTTGCTGTCTTGCACCCTATCTCTGCAACCTCCTAACCCCCTATCAACCCCCCCGCTCCCGCCGCTCAGCCGGCTCCGGCCTGCTCCACGTCCCCTGACCCACCCGCCCCACCATTGGCAGGAGAGCCTTCAGCCACTCTGCCCCCAACCACTGGAATTCCATCCCCCAGTCACTCCACCTCGCCCCCTCCTTAGCCCCGTTCAAATCCCACCTCAAAACTCTCCTCTTCGACCATGCCATCGGTCACCCCCCTTCCTCTCCCCTCCCTTCTCCCCCTGACCCCAGCTCGGGTCTGAAATGCTGTACATTGTCCAGCGTCTTGGGACGTCCTCCCGACATAAAAGGCGCTACACAAATGTAACCTTGTTGTTGCAGGTAATAAATCGCTAGTACCTGTGCAAAGTGGTCTGACAGGAGACAAGGGACTGGAAGTGCTTGCACGTTTTGTCAACTTGGAGGTATCCTCTCTACCACAAGAAGCATACAATATAGTGCAAGAATGCAAGGGTAAGTCTTTACACCTACATTAGGGGCCAAAGGGAAGTGAGGAAACAGCATAATGACAAGTGTACCCTAAACCTCTTGTAATCTCGTTAGATTCCCGGCAGGGTGAAATGTTGGCCAAGTTTCCTTATTTCACGCGCTTCTATTTACCTGGCAGTTAGTAGGGACCCGGTTGTTAGTCGATTGGTGGATCGGTTTTCTGGGGGTAATGATTCCTTTTTTAAAAAAAATAATAAATTGATCACTTAATTCACGACTGTTTGTGGGACATTGCTTTGTGAATTAGCTGCCGGGTTTTGTCCACAAAATATACAGTCAATTTAGTTTGCAATATATTCTGTGAAGCACTTTGAGACGTCTCGAACACGTGATAAGGCGCTATATCAAATGAAGGATTATTAACTTACTCAAGGAATGTGGGAAGTTATCCTGCTTCCAGGCAGTTTTATTCCTTATAAAGAACCTGAAGAACTGTTCATCAAGGTCCAGAGTCAAACTGCTGTGATCTTTGGCGTTTGACCAGTTAATTTGTGGCTATTACTGCTGGACTGCTTTGTACAAATTCTTTATTAATGGGTGTTCATGAAAAGAACAATCAAGGTTGTAGTTTGAATGACGAACATCTATCCCAGAGTTTAATCCTAAAGATGGTCCAAAAATTCCAAGAAAAGGTTTTAAAATCATATTTAATTATTTCCTTTCAAGTTTGTGAAGTATTATTCATATAAGATTGACTGAATATTAAAAGATAGATTCACCCATGCTGCTCTTTAATATTTGTAATAGAAACTGTCACTGGGAACATTTTTTCATTTTAACAAACAATAATTTTAACAAAGAAAATCAAAATTGGTACAGCGCTTCCACCATTCTACCTAACATGATAATGTGCTATATCAAATGCAAGGATTATTATTATTAGAGACCATATATATTAATTCCGCCTAAAGATAAGGGTGATAGTAATGGGGTCACGGAGTCTGGTGCGGGAGAGGACATGAGCTGCAGAGTTCTGGATAATCTGCAGCTTGTGGAGGGGAGAGTTAGTGCATGAGTTACACTAAGTTTCATCTTGAGTTTTGGTGAAAAGCTTTGCTAGTAGCAATCATCATAGCACATAGCAATCGATGGGATCTCAGAAATTTAAAGTGCTGAACATATGATCTGGGCCACAGTTTTCACGAGATGTTGCGTATGCTATTAAGAATAACACTTGATAGTATCATTTGGGAACGTAACACTTAATGTTCAGGTGATAAATACACAAGCTTCACTTCAGAATTGTAATTTATTTTGTAATTTTCAGAGTTGTAATTTCTATCGCTTGTTGTCCCTTATATTGTGTAACTCTTCATCATCAAATTATTGATTACACTGCTGCCCAATGGAACTAATCGGGCACTACAATGAGTTGGGGATGGTTTTTATTAAAAAGACTAGCAGATAAATTTGGATGTTTAAAAGCACGTTCTCATATGATAACCCCCAACCCCCAAGCAGACCCTATTCCACAGCAATCTGAAAACTACTGTAGTTCTGATCATCATGGTGCAACTTTGGTATTTGGTTTAACACTCAGCACTCTCCTCTCTCACAACCGGTCCCTGACCAAGACACTGTTCTGCAACTTTGCCGTAACCTTTTAACTATTGCCTGTGAATGACAACTCTATGTTCTCTTGTTCTACTGTCTTAACGATTCGTAAATATTGATCTGAGTTTACAAAGATGCAAAGGATGGGTGAGTTCTGATCAAAGAAATGAGCTGTGGGGCTGTTCTGTTGGTTCAAGGGTTTGTTAAGAATCCCATTGAACTATTTTGAAGAAACGCCAGCCATTTCTCCTTCCTCATCTAATTTTACTTAAATAAAAGTTTAATAGGCTGTTTATCTTGAAGCTTGTTTATGGAACGTTGGTGTAGAATAACCTCTGTGTTTGCCTGAATAACCATCATACGTAACTCCAGTGTGAAGCACTTTCAGTTGACTTGATAGTCTATAACACAAAAATGCAACTTTTATAATTATTATTAATTGAAACTATAGTACAAGAAAAATCATTGCCCAGACCAATACATCATCTTGCTGCTTACTTCACTTGCTTGTGTTCTGGATGAGCTGCAATAACTGCACTTCTAACATTATAAAATCATGGATCCAGACTGTTCACATTTGTTCATTTCAACCCTGAATCTGTCAGCAACATCAGGGAATTCAATTTTCGGCTCATATCTGATTGCACATACTTCATTTGCTTTGCGTGATTTACCATATTCATTTTTTCCCTGATTTGTTTATTTTCTCACGCTATTTCTTTATATCTTTCTTTTAACATTTGATACTTTTTTCGTTTGGAAAATTGAAATGTGGTACATTGACTTTGGCTTGGCTACAATATGGAAGCGCTGAGGAGGATAATAGCAGACCACAAGAGGACAAAGAGAGGATACAAACACAATCTGCCGAATGGCCTCATTCTGTGCTGTATAATTCTGACTTGTGTCTTATAGCGCAACAATACGATGCTTCAATCAGTGTCCTTTGCACTATCAGGCTTCCGCAATAACCTGTTTGTGTCTCCCTCACTCCTTGAATTTAACAGCGACTCAAGATTCACCTTTTAGAAAACACAACAGTATTTTATTGGTCCTTAAAACCCTACACCTCACTTACACAAGATAAATAGTCGCAATGTTAAGAAATAGAAAAACCCTGACACCACAACTATGACAATAGCAGCTTTACCCAAAGTTAGTAGACAAAGAAAAAACAATCTTGACCTTGAGGCGAGGCTTCAGGTCAGGTATGTACCTCCTTGATGACACTAAAGACGAAGAGTGACCCCGAATTCAACGAACCCCATTCTTTATATTTTTCTAACTCCTCCCCTTTTCAGTGTATCACTTGATACCTTTTCCCTCCATTTCCAATCTCCTCCCCTTCCAATGTATCACTTGGTTCCGCTCCAGGACCCATATGACCCTTTCCTGCCTTTTTTGTTGTAACATTCACCCAGGTCACAGACTTTGTGTCATCAAGGCTGTACCACTTTAAAATTATAATCTGGTCCCTGGACCATAATTGCGCTTAAAGCAAAGCTTATTTTAACACAAACACTCTGTACACAGACTATCTACAGCAAATATCATTAGAACGTGGTTGAGTATTAATAAAAACAAGGTGTCCGTGACAGAACAAACCTCTTTACCTATTTGCAAAGGGTATTATAAGCCCAGGTTGTCAAGAGCCAAAGCTTGGGCACCCAGGATTGTTTGTTGGAGTATTGCTGGAGTTTAACCAGCTTATTGAGAGTACTGTGGGGTAAGTTTATTGCTGCTTATCCTACTAGGACGATCCTATCCATTAGGACTTTGGCTTTGCAAGGTTAACAGAAGCAAAGGGGAAGAATTCCTACCGATGAACCAGATTTCCAATCCTCATCAGTGCCTTCAAGTGCTCAGGAACCACGACTGAATCCGAAACAGATGTTTGACTCGATTCCGACATTCCATTGCCAAGTGCGTCTGACTCAACCTAGTGCAGCCGTGAGCACGAAGGCTTGATATAGTGTTTTGTGCAAAGTGTCAATAGATGCCTTTGAGTTCTTATGAACAAGTTGGGATAGTAGGTGACTGAAAACAGCCACATGAGGGAGCCTAGTTAATGATACAATCACTGAAGCAGAGAGAATTTGTACTCAGCAGGCACGGAAATGTCATTTAGCTAACCAAACAGTTCTCCAAATGCTATCAGAATTCACTATTTAACAAACTAAATAAAAGCTGTTAAATTGATCAGAATTCATAGTGTTCCTTTTTCTTTAAATTGTGAGTACAAATGGCAGGATTCCCTCTGACTGACTGACTGATTGAACAGTCAATTAGATGTTACAACATGGCAGTGTACTGTTGGGCTGTGCTTGAATAGGTTTTTAAATTGAAAGCATCTTATCTCTGTTAATGTTTTCCAGGTTCCCCTCTGGTCGTCTCTCTCATTGGTGCACTGTTAAGAGAATTTCCAAATCGCTGGGAGTATTACCTGAAACAGCTGCAGAATAAACAATTCAAAAGAATTCGCAAATCTTCCTCATATGACTATGAGGCACTTGATGAGGCAATGGCAATCAGCATTGATGTACTGGAAGAGTATCAGAAGGAGCACTACAAGGACCTTTCTGTACTTAAGAAAGATGTTAAAGTGCCAACCAAGGTAGGACAACTGCAAGCTCTTGTAAAACGCAATACAGTTGGCAATTGCAGATTTGAAGAGGATCATTTAACCTTTTCCTATCAATTAAGATTTTATATTGTCGCAGCTACAGAGCTTACTTACTCGAAAATTAGCGCCTTTCTTGTAGGATGAATGTCTTAAAAGTGCTAACTGCTAAGCTCTGAAAGTGCTTTTGGGCCAATCATCAGTACTTCCACAGGGTAGTTCTCCTCAATTAAACAGAGAACCTAATGTTGGCAGATTATGTGACAGTAGCTAAAATAAATTTTTCTATTTTAAATTTATTACATAAATGGGGATGTTGATTTCAGTCTCATTAATTCAAACTAGTGAATTCATCAGTTTCATGTAGTTATCCTGTTGTGTATGAGTTTGCATTACGCGAATGTTTGTCAATGCAATGCTTGTGCTCTGCCAAACTACTGTAATTTGGATTTTTGTTTTTTATAATAATAATAATAATATTTTGTTTTTCTAAATATGGCGTTTTGGTTACATTCAGCCCGTTATGTAATTATAATATTCCTTAGATTTGATAAAGCGCCTTAACAACAACAACAACAACTTGGTTTTGTATAGCGCCTCTACGCCGGACGGCGTCTTAGAGCGCTTTACAGTAACAGATCCCAGGGTCGAGCCAGGGGGAGGGGGGGAAGGTGACCAAAGGCGCGATCGAAGAAAAAGGTCTTCAGCAGGGACCTGAAAATGGGAAGGGAGTGAGCGAGGCGAAGCAAATGAGGAAGGCAGTTCCAGAGCCTTGGGGCATAATGGCTGAAGGCACGGCCCCCGAGGGTGGAGCGGAGGACTCGGGGGACGAGGAGGAGGCCAGACCTGGAGGAACGAAGAGGAGAGAAGAGGTCAGAGGTCGGGGGGGTGCCGAGGAGTGGGGATACAAGGGTGAGGATCTTGAAGTCGATCCTCTCTGGAACAGGCAGTCTGGCAAGGACTGCAGTGATCGGGAGCGGAGTTTGGTGCGGGTGAGAATGCAGGCGGCAGAGTTTTGAATGATCTGGATTTTATGGATGGTAGTGGATGGGAGACCAGCGAGGAGGTCGTTAGAATAGTCCAGCCGAAAAGTGACAAATGCATGGACTAGGGTTTCAGCGGCTTTCGGAGAGAAGTATTGGCGGAGACGGGCAATGCATCGAAGGTGGAAGAAGGCAGTGAGAGACCGGATGTGGGGGAGGAAGGATAATTGGGGGTTGAACCTGATGCCTAGGTTGCATACGGGTTTGGAGAGTTTTCGGGGGAGGTCAGGTAGGTGGAGGAGGTGAGAGCTGTAAGATTTTAGACGTTGACAAGAGCCAAAGAGTATGGCTTCCGTCTTGTCAACATTCAGCTGAAGGAAATTTGCACTCATCCAGCCCAAGATTTGACAGGCAGGCTGACAGAACATCAGGGGACTGGGGGTCGCAAAGAGAGGTGGAAAAATAGAGTTGGGCGTCGTCCGCATACATGTGGAAATGTACCCCATGTCTGAGGTTGACATCCCCAAGAGAGAGCATGTAGATCAGAAAGAGGAGGGGGCCAAAGATGGATCCTTGGGGTACTCCGCAGGTGACCGGGTGAGAGCGGGAGGAGAAGCCGTTTGTGCAGATGTACTGCTGGGGGTTTGTGAGGTAGGACTCGAAACAGGCGAGTGCGGTCCCACTGAGGTGGATGACGGAGGAAAGGCGGTGGAGGAGGATGACGTGATCGACTGTGTCGAATGCCGCGGAGAGGTCCAGGAGGACAAGGAGGCAGAGGGAGCCCTGGTCACAGATAGAGAGGATGTCGTTTGTGACTTTCACATCTCACATCACATCTTTGAGATGTCTCAAAACACTTCACAGAATATCCTGTAAAGTGAATTGATTGTATATTTTGTGAGCGAAAAGCAGTGTCCCACAAACCGTTGTGGATTGAGTGATCAATTTCTTCTTATTATTATTTAAGGAATTATTACCCCCACAAAAGTGATCCGCCAATAGACTAACAACCGGGTTCCTACTTACTGCTAGGTAAACAGAGGGGTGTGGAGTAAGGAAACGTTCCCAACATTTCGGCCTGCTGGGAATCAAACCCAAGTCTCTCACTTGTGAAGCGAGTGCTCTAACCACTGAGCTGCAGGACTCCACTTCCTTTAGGAAACAGCTGTTAATCTCATTGAAACGTGCATCTGTTAACAATCAAAGGGCTTCAAAAACATGATCAATCATTTAAAGGGGAGGTATATTGTGGAATCTTGTCGCTTAGTGGTTAGAGCACTCGCCTCAGAAGTGAGAGGACCTGGGTTTGATTCCCGGCAGGGCGAAATGTTAAGCAAGTTTCCTTACTCCACAAGTCTCTGTTTACCTAGCAGTAAGTAGGAACCCGGTTTTTAGTTGATTGGTGGCTCGCATTTGCAGGGATAATAATACCTTTTTTAAAAAAATAATAATTTGGTCAGTCAATACAGACTATTTGTGGGACAATGCTGTGCACAATTGGCGTAAATTAATTTTACAGTATATTCTGTGAAGTGCTTTGAGGCGTCTCGAAGATATGATAAAGTGCTATATCAAAGTATTATTATATTCCACTTAGTTTCATATAATATTCTTATAACAGGAAATATTTATCTGTATCTCCACAGATTCAGAATCTCTCAGCACGTTGTTTCTGAGGTTTCATTATTTAAAACTATTTATTTCTATGATTTGATCCAATTGGTGAGTGAGATTGTCAAATTATGGCATAGACTTGTGACTGGTTTATCACAGGTGAAGGAATCTTTTATTGTGTCAGTTTTACAGTAGTTTTGAACTATGTTCGACCACTCAGCAGCTTGTCTTCCTTTATAATCACTGACATTTTAAAATGTAAATTAACATAAAACATATTTAGTTGTCGAATGAAGTTTAAATACGGACCATACAAATCAACATGGAAGTTTGGCAACACATCAATGGAATAAAAATAATAACATTAATAATAATAATCCTTGCATTTGATAAAGCGCCTTATCACGTCTTTGAGACAACAACAACAAATGGCATTTGTATAGTGCCTTTCAAGTCAGGAGGACATCTCAAGGTGCTGGACAATCAGGGATCCACACTCGAGATGGTGGTTGGGATCAGGAGGGGTTAGGGTGGGGAGGGTAGGGGTAGGAAGGTGACAGAAGGTACAATTAAAGAGGAGGGTCTTCAGGCGGATCTTGAAGGAGGCAAGGGAAGGGGTGAGGTGGAGGGACTATGGGATTGAGTTCCAGAAAGTGGGGGTAGAGAGCCTGCTGGAACCCACTGAGCGGAGGGAGCGGACAAGTTGATAGAAGTAGGGAGGAGCAAGGCCACCAAGGGTTTTGAAGGTGAGGACCATGTTCACGATCCTCTGAGTGGATAGGGAGGAGAAATTGGTTCCTGGAGTTAGGGATGGATGGGCCTTGCGGTGGACATGATGGGGTAGGGCAGTCAGGGTGGCTGCTGTTGGACAGCCAGTGGCTTCTGCCACGGTGGGCCTAATGGAGGATTCGCAGGCTGGAGTAGAGAGAGGCTGTGGGGCAGTCGAGTAGGGATAGGAGACGAGAGGGGTGATGGGAGAGGAGCACTGAGCTGGAGTAGTGGAAGGTAGAGCATAGGGATGGGAGAATTTTGGGGGAAGCAGCTCAGGTTGGGGGTAGCGGCCAAAATCTACACGCCAAGACAAGTAGCGAGAAGGGAGGGGGGGGTGTCAGCCTGTTGCCATAGATCATGGGAAAGGACAGTGCAGTAGTCCCAGTGAGTCCAGGCTCAGTGTTTTGAATGTGACGGGCGGAAGTGATGTCACCCGGCAGTCGAGTGCTGATTGATTGGCTCATTGGGAGGGTCTGAAATGGCCATGTTGGCACTTGGACCAGCGGAGGCCACGGATTCCACACTGACTCCTCACACCACCGGTTTGCCTCAGTCCGCGCATTGAATATGTTCGCCACTGGCATGTTGGACTCCATGCCGGTGTTAGCCTCGAACTCTGCTCCAAGCACCGCTCAAGAAGTGCCTTGAGATGTCTCAAAGCATTTCACAGAATATACTGTAAGGTGTAGTGACTGTGTGTTTTGTAGGCGAAACGCAGCAGCCAATTGGCAGCAGCCAATTCTCTTTGACCGTGCTTTCAGCTCCCCTCTCGACTCTCTTCCCCCTCCTCGCTCCCTCCCTTCCCTCCCCTCACCCTGACCATTTACCCCCTCCTCGCTCCCTCCCTTCCCTCACCCTGACCATTTCCCCCCTGCTCGGGTCATGACCCAACTGTGCAGCGCCTTGGGACGTCCTCCTGACGTGAAAGGCGCTTTATAAATGGAATCTTGTTGTTGTTGTTGTTGTGTATAGCAATGTCCCACAAACAGTCCTGAATTGAGTGACCAAATTATTATTTATTTATTTTTGGTGGGAGAAGAGATTATTACCACTGGAAAAACAATCCACCAATAGACTAACAACTGGGTTCCTACTTACTTCTAGATAAACAGAGCCATGTGTGTGGAGTAAGGAAACTTGCCTAAGGTTTTGCCCTGAATCTTACGTAATAATCCTTAAATTTGATATTGGGTCTTTCACATCAGGAGGATGTATAAAAATGTGTTACAGGACATTTTGTAAAGTGTAGTGACTCTGTATTTTGTGTATAAATCCGGCAGCTCTAAGTGATGGGAGTGTAGCTATTTCATTGTTAGTGTAACTCTTGCTGCTGCATATTATTTTTGTTCCATCAATCTTTTCACTGTCTTCCTACCTCCATTTGTATTCCTCTTTGTCAAGTCTATTGCTTCTATTCTTTTTTTATCTGATTCTGGTTTCATTCTTTGCTCCTTTTTATGTGTGATTGGGAGGCTTTTCACAGTCTGCTAAGAAGGGCTTTGATGTGTTCTCCTTGCTCTTCTCATACAGCAATTGAATTGGATGATATTTGACACTGCAATGTCTTGCTAGTTGTGAATTAGGGAAGCAGGCCAGTTCAATAAGACTCAATTCCCTGTGGTGCAG